TTCAAAAAGGAAATTTTTGGAAAAGAGATACAATGAGACAGAGGGAGAGGGTAATTGTACTAGCTAGCTAGGAGCATTCTTTGTTCTAATGAAAACAGTGTGTTACTGGCTTTTGTTTGTTTCTCTGTTTTTTGCTTTTGTTTTTTCAAGACAAGGTTTCCCTGTATAGCCCTGGCTGTCTTAGAACTCACTCTGTAGACCAGTCTGACCTCAAACTCAGAAATCTGCTGGATTAGATAGAAAAACCAACAGAACAGAAGAAAAAAATCCATAAATACATGTAGATGCACTCAGGGATGTTCTTATAATGAAAATGAGGGGGGAGGTGAATTATTCAATAGGATGATCAGGCACCAGCCAGAGGGAAGCGAAGCCGGAAGCTCACTTGATGCCTCACACCAAGATAAAGGGCCATGGCAGCACACACCTGGGAGGCAGAGGCAGGCAGATCTCTGTGAGTTCGAGGCCAGCCGGGTCTATATAGTGAGCTTCAGGACAGAGTTACATAGCAAGACCTTGTTTCAAAAATTCACCCTACCCGCCCCCCAAAAAGTGTGCATCTATCTGTTGACAGGGGTTTCTGTCCCACCCTGTCCTGCAGTCATTCAGTCCCAAATAAACACACAGAGGCCTACATTAATTATAAACCAATTGGCCCTTAGCTCAGGCTTCTTATTAACTCTTATAACTTATATTAGCCCATATTTCTTGTCTGTGTTAGCCATGTGGCTTGGTACCTTTTTCAGCGAGGCAGTCACATCTTGCTTCCTCTGTGGCTGGGTCATGACAGCCGACTGAGCTTTCTTCTTTCCAGAATTCTCCTGTTCCCCTGCCTCTACTTCCTGCCTGGTAGCCCCACCTATACTGCCTGCCTGGCTACTGACCAATCAGCGTTTTATTAAAAATAATACAAATAAAAGGATAAAAGACATCGTCCCACAGTATCTGTTAACATGATTAACAAACATATGTACACCTTAGAGAAAACAAAAAGCTCATTAAACTGATTCTTCCTAAGTCCCATTTTTATACGATTTCTTAGGGTCAAGATATGGTCTCTGCCGTCCCAACAAGCTAAGCTCAGCCACCATCTCCAGAGTGCCAGTTAAAGAGACAGTAACAGTGCTCCATGGCCTACAGTGATCATTGGTCTACAGTGCTCCCTGGCCTACAGTGATCATTGGTCTATAGTGCTCCCTGGCCTACAGTGCTCCGTGGCTTACGATGCTTGCAGTACAGAGCTAGGAGAGACAGCGTTTAGATCTCAGCACCATATAATAAGGCAGACATGTAGGAAAATGCTTGCAATTCCACCCTGGAACAATCTCACACCCTCTTTTAGCCTCTGTGCATAGAGGTGTGTGACCTGTACATGTGTGCACACACACTCACAGAGATATGCATATAAATGAACAAATGAATGAATTAATAAAACATTGAAAATGTTTTCTTTAGAAAGGCCTGCAGAGGTTATATAGACCCTCTTGGCCCAGCTGAGATGACAGGGAATGGGTCAGGGAGGGAAACTTTGCACTGAATATTAGTTTATTTTGTTTTTCATAAAACATACGGAAAAGTTTCTGCCTGCCAGTTAGATTCTCCACCAGTGCAATAATCCTAATCACACCAAATCAAAAGGAATTAGAATAAGCCCAGGTTTAATAGGTACCAACACTCCCAAATGGCTTTCCAGCTCCCCAGAGAGGAGCTGGGGAAGGAAGACCAGAAAATCACGTGTTTGTTCTCTGGGGGGCAGTTTAAATGCCTTTTGGGAGTGGTCTTGAGTATCTCTGGGGAGGAGTCGTTTGGTGGACTTTTTCAGTAGTGGGGTCTGGACTGAGGCAACTCCCAGGGGAGGAGGCTTGGGATGGAACTTCCACCTGAACATCCCAGATTCTTTGGATATATGGACACCAGGGTTTGGGATGAAGCTTTAACCCAAACCATCCAGACTCTTTGGGTATGGATGCCAGGGGCTGGGGTGAGGCTTCCACCCAAACACACACCTCTGCACACACATCTAGTCCTGGGCATTGAACTCTATCTAAATTTTATATATGCTAACAAGAACTGTGTTGATAAGCTGTGTTCTAGCTCTGGTTTTAATTCCCAGCATTGCATACAAAGGCAGAACATAAAAATGATCTGTTTCCTTGTGTATGAATTGTAATAGACATTGACCGTGTTGGGGAGATAGCCCGGTAGAGACTGCTGAGCTTATAACACTAAATGGAATTCTATACCACACCCCGCATTAGTCAGCATTCTCTAGAGAACCAAAGCTGGTAGAATAAATAAATGCATGTAGGATTTATTAGAGTAACTTACAGGCTGTGGTCCAGCTAGTCCAACAGCCCAAGAACCCAATAGTCCACGGTTTAGTGCACAAGGCTGGATGTCTCAGCCAATCTTCAGTATCCATTGGAATGGGTCTTCCCACCTCAAATGTTTTAAAGAAAAATCCCTAAGAATTAATACAAAAGTCTCAATTGTTAGGAAAAAAAATTAAAGAAGATATACTGCATCTGATGAATGAAATTTGAGGTTAACTTCCAGCTTCCACACAAGCATGCCTGAACACACACATACGTACCCCTGAACACACACAAACACACAGACAGGCACCCCTGAACATACACACACACACACACAAGTATGACTGAACGCACACACAAGGCACCCCTGAACAAACACACAAATACACACAAGGCACCCCTACACACACACACACACACAAGCTGTTGATGGTAGCCACTTGGAAAAGGCTTTTTTGTTTTTAATTTTTGCATGCTTTGATTTATATGAGAAATACACATTGTTTCTGTAATCAGAGAGCACAGATAATTTTAAATTACTTACTGATTGATTGATAGAGGAGGCTGAGGGTTGGAAACCCTGAGTAATGTGTATTAATGCTGTATGTGTATTTTGATGAGGACCCCAGACTCATGGGAATTGGCAAGGCCTTCCTCTGATCCATGTTGGACAGCTGACAGAGCGCACAGAAAGCAAAGACTGCAGCTTCCTCCTCCCAAATGTGTGTGGCCTGAGACTGCTGCTCCTCTACAGAGACTCCTCCCCAGGCCAGCTGGCTAACTCCTCCCTGTGTATGAATTCACCTGTAGTGAACTCACCCAGGCTGTATTGTAGTAGGTGCCCTCCATCAGAGAGTACAGCTATTCTGTAAGAATGTCTGTCATGTCCTCATTCCCTCCTTGTCCCTCTCAGGTTTCCAGGACATAGCAGAACCCAGGGCCTCATGTTTTCTACTATTGAGCTGTGCCCATGCCTCTGTTTTGATGTGTGTGTGTGGTTCGCTTGCTTGTTTCATTGAAAGGGACATGATATCTATTTCTTTGTTCCTCCTTGGCTGTTTTGTGGCCACTATAAACTGTAGTGTAATGGAGTCCTGGCTTCTACTCTCCTCTGTTCAGTAGGGTTTTTTTTTTTTCTGTTTTTTTTTTTTTTTTCTGACTCAGGCTGAACCCTTCATTTAGTATTTAAAATCAGGTCTTATTGCCTCCATCTCAGGTCTGCTACTCTGAAATTCAAGATAAGTTTCTTTCTTTCAAAAGTTGTTTGGGGCTTGGGGGTTGTAGCTTAGTACTAGAGTGTTTGTATGCAAAGCCCTGGGCTTAATCCCCAACACACACACATACACACGCACACATATTGTTTTGCCTCTTTCAAAGACTAATTTTTTTTCTTATCTGCTGCCACAGTGATTCCACAAATAGAAAAGAATTTCTCTTGTGAACTCCTCCACATCTCGGAGGGAGCCAGAGAGGGGCTCAGAAGCAGGAAGAAAGACCTTTTCCCTTTCCTCCTATAGAAAGAAAAACCCAGACCTTCTGCGCCTCCTGGGGCAGTGAAGACTATTTATAGGCTTCGGATTTAATTATAATTCTGCCCTCTGGTAACTTGGCTGGCTGCTGCTTTAAGCTTCGGCCCCACCCTTCCTATAGGAGGAGCGGTTTTGTCTCCCTGCATTGCAGATTGAACACTACAGACTACAGAGAAGGAACCTGAAGAAGGTGGGTCAGTGTGGCGGCTACACAGCTGCCTGTGTCATCTTGGAATGAGGACCAGGACAGGTTTAAATATTCTACCACCTGATTATAAAATAGTGCAATGAGTGGAAATAAAGTAAAATTAAAACTCACCACACCGTCTCTTCAAACAATTAAAAATAGAATCCCTGTACAACCCACAAATTTTGCCTCTGGTTCTAAGCTCCAGAGAACGGATTTGTTGTTAAGGGCATGGTGGCCTTGCTCTCTACATGTGTGCTCTCTACATGAGTGTGAAGCATGCACGCCATGACACACATGGAGTGGTCAGCTTGTTGGAGCCGGTTCTCACCTTCCACCTTGGGGGACCCAGAGTCAAGCTCAGGTCTTTGTGCTTAGGAGCAGACAAGGTGGAAGCAACTTAAGAGTGGATGGACAAATGGACAGATCTACAAAGTGTGGTACGTGTGCCCAGGGGAACACTTTTCAGCCTCCCCGAAGCTGAGGAACTAGTGACAGCTGACGGCTCCTGGGTGTGGGGAGTTTTCTCTAAGGATGTGGTCCCGCTAGGTCCACCACAACTCCAGTGATGGTGCCACGCCCAAGAGTATGTGAGAAGCACAAATTAGACTCTGTGAGTTAAAAATAAATAAATAAAAGAAGTATGAAGTTGGGAGGGAAGATGAGGTGGGATTGGATCTGGAAGGATTTCGTGGGAGGATTGAACACAATCAAGATATACTGTATGCATGCAGGAAATTCTTAATGAATTCATAGAAATATTTTCAATGAATACTTTTCATCAAAATGAAACACACATGCTGCAATGTGGGATGGCCATATAACCATTACAGCAGGTGAATAAGCCATATTTTTATATGGACAGGCTCCGCGAGAGGGCTCAGCCGGTAAAGACAACTGTTCCCAAGCACAGTGACCTGAGCTTGACCCTGGGTCCCCCAAGGTGGAAGGTGAGAACCAGCTCCAACAAGCTGTCCTCTGACTACTACAAATGTGCCGTGGCGTGGGTGCATCACACTCTTGTGTGCACACACTCACAAATAAACAAGTTAAAAGGGACAAATATTATAGGATGTTGTCAGGGTTTCTGTTCTGCCTGGTTCCCACAATCGTTAAGTCCCAAAGAGATCACACAGAGGTCTACATTAGTTATAAACTGATTGGCCTATTAGCTCAGGCTTCTTCTTAACTCTTATAACTTATATTAGCCCATTATTCTAGTATATGTTAGCCACATGGTTTGGTACCTTTTTCAGCAAGGCAGTCACATCTTGCTTCTTTTGTGTCTAGGCCCGGACGCTGTCCTCTTCCCAGAATTCTCCTGTTCTCCTTGACCCACCCTCCTCTACTTCCTATCTGGTTGTCCTGCCTATACTTCCTGCCAATAAGCATTTATTTAAAATATAATAGGCAGAATACAGACCACGGTTCCACACCAATAGGACTTTACCTATATGAGATATTTCAACTGCATTGGGGGCTGGGGGGACAGTGAAGATTTCCTCTGGTAGGTATCCTAATGTTGGCAGAGTGTAGAGAAAGTGCACACCCCAGCTTCCTCCTCCCGTTGTTTACAGCCTAGCATGCTCCCTACTGAGACTTCATACCAAGATGAGCTGGACCTTGCGTCCTTTTCTGGCTGCGGATCGAAAACCTGCCTCCTTATTCAGCTGTGTCCAAAGAACTCCTGCCCCAGTTCGGTTTCCTGGGTTAGTACTAGGTGCCCTGTTATCCCAGAGAGCCTGGGCTCCCCAACTGCAGGCTTGCTGTACGTGTGTCTGTGGTTTCTGTATCCCGTGTCACCTCACTCAGGTTCCTTGAACCCAACTCCTGCAGGGTGCAGCAAATAAGAAATAATTATCTCCAACCGAAATGTAACAGATTTTCATGTTTTTTCTGTGCATGCTACGTTTTCCACCCTTTGAACTTGTAATAATATTGTAACAAACATTGTCTTCTGCTCTCAGTAGAATGTCAGACCTATGAAGACAGGAACTTTAAAGTCTTAATTCACTGCTGTGTTTCCAGAGCCTAAAATAAGTGCTTAACACACAGAAGAAATCCAATAACTTTTATTTATTTATTTATTTATTTATTTATTTATTTATTTTTGAGACAGGGTTTCTCTATGTAGCTCTGGCTGGCCTGGAACCCACTCTCTAGACCAGGCTGGCATCGAACTCACAGAGATCCACCTGCCTCTGCCTCCTGGCTGCTGGAACTAAAGACATGTACCATCATGCCCAGCTAAAGATTTTACTTTCTAAAGTATGTGTATGTCTGTGTTTCTCTGTGTAACAGCCCTGGCTATCCTGGAACTCACTCTGTAAACCAGGCTGGCCTGAAACTCCACCTGCCTCTACCTCCCAGGTGTTGGGATTAAAGGCGTGCACCACCACAGTCTGGCTCCTTGTAGCATTTTTATATCTTTACTGGTTTAAAGTTTTTCCCCAAAGGTGGCGTTTGAGCTGGAAGGAGCGAGGGCGGCAGAGAGAGAAAGTAATCATGCAAGGGATGAAATAGGACATCCAGTGAAGGGGCAAATAACTGTCCAGTCCCTGTAGACTGGAAACCACCAGCCCAGGGATGGGGCGGGGAGGGTTGCAGCAGTTACAAGCCTGGAAAGGCCACTCAGCAGTTCAAACCCTTACATGTTGGTCTGTCCCCAGCACCCACATGGTGGCTCACAACCATGTGTAATTCTGGTCCCAGGGGTTCTGATGCCTCTTCTGACCCCCATCAGCTCCTGCACACATGTGGAACACATACATGTACTCAGGAATACATACATACATATGAAATAAAGTAACTTTTGAGACAGGATCTGGAGTAGTCCTGGTTGTCCTGGAACTTTCTAGGTAGACTAGACTGACTTCAAACTCACAGAGATCCACCTGCCTCTGCTTCCCTTGTGCTGGGATTAAAGGCCACTACACCCAACTATAGATAGTTTTTTACAATTAAAATTGCAACTTTTTTGCCTGCTGTCTTCCAACCTATAAGCAATAGATGGAGTTTATAACCATGGGAAACAAAACATCCTGACGGTCTTCATATTTCCCACCTAGTTTTAGTACCCACAGATGATTCTTTTTTAATTTTTTATTCTTTTTTGTTTTATTTATTTATTTTTTAAAAGATTTATTTATTTATCTATCTATTTATTGTGTATACAACATTCGGCTTCCATGTATGCCCACACACTAGAAGAGAGCGCCAAATCTCATTACAGATGGTTGTGAGCCACCATGTGGTTGCTGGGAATTGAACTCATGACCTTTGGAAGAGCAGCCAGTGCTCTTAACCACCAAGCCATCTCTCCAGCCCCACTTTTTGGTTTTTCGAGATGGGGTTTTTCTGTGTAGCCCTAGCTGTCCTGGAACTCGCTCTTTAGACCAGGCTGGCCTTGAACTCCGAGATCCGACTGCCTCTGCCTTCAGAGTGCTGGGATTCAAGGTGTGCGCCAACACTGCCCGGTTCCAGGGATGATTCTTAGCTGATACAATTTTTGCCGAGACAACTGAAAAAAAATATAAACTTTCGATTTTCACGTGTAAGTCTAAAACTTGATACTAAGTTTACACGCGGTACAGACCTGATTCTGTTACTTTTCCTTCCTGAGTGTTTAGCTAAGTAGCCCTGGCTGTCTGGAAGCAGCGCAGATCCCACCGAGAGAGGCGCAGAAGGGACTCTCAACCTCCATCAGCCCGCCCCTCTCTGCTTGATTAAAAGATCCTAATCGGCTTGAGGAGATTAAGGGCTCCAACGGGCTGTTCCCACACCCCCGCCCTGGGCTGGGCTGCCAGGGGAGACCGAAGGGGCATCGACCCTGTGACCCCTTAGCCAGGCCCCAGCCCGGGACTACCCGGTAAGTAGAAAATGACCCACTAGGTGGACTCGGGTCCTGTGTGAGGGCGTGGGAGTATCCTCTCCGAACCAGAGGACAGTGACTGGGGAGGGAAGATAAACAAGTCGGGACGAGCAGGCCAGGCCAGGCCAAAGAGACCTTGGGGCGGTGCCCTGCCCCCATCTAGGGTCCAAGTGTGTGGAAGCCTAGACATCCTTAGGGTTGGGAGGGATTTGAAAAACCGGCTGGAGCGGAGAACCCTAAGGGAGCGTTGGGGAATCTCAACTCTCCCCTTCTTCACAGAAGAAGGCAATGACCGCGTGGCTCCTGCCAGCGAGTGGGCTTCCCGACGCCGGGTCCTGCGTCCCTGTGTGGCAGACCTCGTCCAGTCTTTCTCGGGTCCTGTGCTGGTCAGGTTCTCGGCTGCCCGGACTCCTGCTCCTGTTACTGCTCCCGCCGCCTGCTGCCCTCTCGGCCGTGTTCAAAGTGGGGGTCCTGGGCCCCTGGGCTTGCGACCCCATCTTTGCCCGGGCCCGCCCTGATCTGGCTGCGCGTCTGGCCGCTGACCGCCTGAACCGTGACCTTGCCCTAGACGGCGGCCCCCGGTTCGAGGTTGCACTGCTGCCGGAGCCCTGCCTGACCCCGGGCTCTCTAGGGGCTGTGTCCGCTGCGCTGTCTCGAGTCTCTGGTCTGGTGGGTCCAGTGAACCCCGCAGCCTGCCGGCCAGCCGAACTACTAGCCCAGGAGGCTGGAGTAGCGCTGGTGCCCTGGGGCTGCCCAGGCACGCGAGCGGCGGGTACTACAGCCCCGGCGGTGACCCCCGCTGCAGATGCTCTCTATGTCCTCCTTCGAGCATTCCGCTGGGCGCGCGTGGCCCTCATCACTGCGCCCCAGGACCTGTGGGTGGAGGCGGGACGTGCTCTGTCCACAGCACTCAGGGCCCGGGGCTTGCCAGTTGCCCTAGTAACCTCCATGGAGCCCTCAGACCTGTCTGGAGCTAGGGAGGCTCTCAGGAGGATCCGGGACGGGCCTAGAGTGAGAGGTAGGCTCCCACGTAGAGTGAGGGGAGATGGGCGGGTCCTACGGGTAGCGGGCAGCTTAGCGAGCGAATCTCTGTGTCTGCAGTAGTGATCATGGTGATGCACTCGGTGCTGCTGGGCGGCGAGGAGCAGCGCTACCTACTGGAAGCTGCAGAAGAGCTGGGCCTAGCTGATGGCTCTTTGGTCTTCCTGCCCTTCGACACTCTTCACTATGCGTTGTCTCCAGGCCCGGAGACTCTGGCTCCACTTGTCAACAGCTCCCAGCTTCGCAGGGCACACGATGCTGTGCTCACACTCACGCGCCACTGTCCTCCGGGAGGCAGCGTGCAGGACAGCCTGCGCAGGGCCCAAGAGCACCAGGAGCTGCCCGCTGACCTCAACCTGCAGCAGGTAGACGGACTAATGAATAGAGATGTGGGAGGAGAGCCAGGGAAGTGAGCGAAAACGGACAAGGAGAGAAGGATGGAACCAGCCGGAAGAGGAGAGTGGGAAATGGGAAAGGGAAGGGTGGAGACAGTGGGAATAAGGAGGGTGGAGCCAATGGGAAAGGGGCGGTGAAGACAGTGGGAAAGGGAGGAGGGTGGAGACAGTGGGGAGTGAAGCCAATGGGAAAGGGAAGGGTGGAGACTGTGGGAATAAGGAGGGTGGAGCCAATGGGAAAGGGGCGGTGAAGACGGTGGGAAAGGGGAGGGTGGAACCAGTGGGAAAGTGGGGGTGGAGCCAATAGTCAGTAGCCACGCTGATCTGGAGTTGTGTGGGTGCTGTAAAGTTCTGGTCTTAGAATTCTTAGTCTGGTTGCTGTACCTATATCTCCTGCCTGGCTCCTGGCCAATCAGCATTTTATTAAACCAGTATGAGTGGCAAATCTTTACAGTATACAAAAGCAATAACCCATAGCAGCAAAGACTGGATGTATATTGTCACTGAGGAGGCAGTTACAATATGCACTTAAGTATTAATTATAAAATAATGGCTTTTGCATGAAAAAGTGATAACTATAATATATATCTATACATATATACCCAGAAACACACATATATAAAGCTAAAGTATATACACTAATATTGTCTTGTTTAAAAATAAATTTCTAAGTAGTTTGAATTTTCCCATTAAAAAAAAAGTAGTTCTGGTCTTGCTTAGGGCATTCATTACTATGATTACCCCCGAGAGTAGGCAATGAGACCTCTCAAATCCACCTCCAAGGAGTAAATCCTAAACGGCCACGTCATTTTTAGCTTTCTTCACAGCAGGCTTAACCCAGTACCCCAAAAACTTCCATAACAAGCAGCTGGTGTTCTGGGAACGGCAGGAGATACAGATTCACCCTAGCCCAGAGACAATTCTTCTGGGGTCTTGACTTTGTTCCCTGGTCGCACCGGAGCTCTTAACTACATGGAGTTGGGACTCTAGAATCAGATCCAAAGGCAGTTTCCAACACCCAGGTAGTAATCAGAATTCCTTGATCTCCCGGATCCCAATTCAGATCATCTAATTCCTCCCCGGTCACACAGGAAGTCTAGAAACTAGTGAGGCTGAAGGGAAGCTAGATATCAGTAGGAAGAAAATTAGCAATCAAGAAGATTGTACTCAGCCGGGCATCGTGACATGGGTTTGCAGTCTCAGACACTCAGAAGATTGAGGAAGGAGGACAGAAAGAGCTGTGGAGTAAATTCAAGGTGGGTCTGGCCCACTGAGGGGCCTGTCTCAAAAACAAGAGACGATCAGACAGCACAGTGAAGGATGCTTGCCAGAAGAGTGTGAGGCCTTAGGATCAATTTTCCCAAATGAACAAACATCCATAACCGTACTCAAAAGGGACCCCCCGAAAGAAGGCTAAGGTGGGGAGTGGGGTGCAGAGGCATGCTGAACTCTTCCCCACCAATGCCTCTAGATTTCTCCCCGGAGACGTTTGGGATAGAAAGGAAGAAAGAACGGAAATAATCGATAAAAAGTGAGATGGGATGGGGGAATCGTCCGTCAGGGGAAGGAGAGGGAAAGATGAGGGCAAAGACGCTTTCATAAGCTGTCAGTACGCGGTGCTGCCAGCTGTCCACGCTGGAGACCCGGTCTCCCCTTTGTCCCCCACAAGCCCAGGCATGAAGCCCGGTTACTTTTTCTTCCTGAAGGCCTTTAGAGTCCCTTCATACTCTCCTTCCTCGCTGATACTGCCCTGACTCCGGCTGCAGCATTTCTGGGCCCAAATCTGGGATCTCCCATCTCTAGTGTGACCCAGCTTCTCCCCACCACCAGCGAGATCCGGCTTCAGAAATGGGGTGCCCTCTACATTTTCCATCCGTGGTTCAGAGCCCCCTGATTGTTTCTGGATGGAGTCCTGCACCCTGAGTTGGGGACCTCCATTGTCCTGTCTAGACGGAGGGCTCCTCACATGGCCTAGCAGGACTTGAGTCTCCATTTCTCTCACACCTTCCACGAGCTTTGGCCAGACTAAGCCACTTTAGGTTTCCTGAATGCGTCCTCTCGGTTTTTCTTCTGCCCCATTCTCCCCTAGATAATTCTGATTCGTGACCTGGGGGAGGGTCACTACTCCAGGAATCTTCCACCTCTTCCTCCCTTCTCCTCATCCCTCCCACTTCCCACCCCTTCACTATTGCACTTCCTTAACCCTTTTGTCTCTCCCCCTAAATGGAAGAAAACCTCGCTCACGGCAGAGGACTCTCACACACAGCACGGTGTCACTGGTGTTCCATGGTGTCCACCATCCCAAGAAATAGGAATTGGGAATAGTGGTGAGGAGACCACCTCTTTGGAGTTGGCATGGAAGAAACACTGATAACCAAGCTAGGCCTGGTGATGTGGGCAAATAATCCTTGCTACTTAAAAGGCTGAAGCAGGAGGATCAAAACTTCAATATCTGGGGATGTACCACTGTCTGCCGAGTTCCCACCTAGAAACAGGAGGATCAGAAGTTCCAGGCCCTCTGTGTGTGTGTGTGTGTGAGTGTGTGTGTGTGTGTGAGAGAGAGAGAGAGAGAGAGAGAGAGAGAGAGAGAGAGAGAGNGAGAGAGAGAGAGAAAGGAGGAGGAGGAGGAGGAGGAGGAGGAAAGAAGGAAGGTGGGAACAAAGGTAGATCCAACATCTGCCTAGGCTGCAGAATGAGGTTAAGGTCAATCTCAGCAATGTAGAAAGACCATGACTCAATAAAATAAATACACAACAACAGGAAGACATGAGCATGAGCAAATGATGGGGGGCTTTAGATGAGTGGCAGGTGATGGCGTTAAAAGTATAAGCCAGGCAAAAACCTAGATGGGAAGGTCTAGGCTATGGCGAGTCACAGTCGTGATGAGAGGAGAACTCAGTTCCTAAAAGGAGCTGCAGTCTACACCAACAGACACTGGGGTGAATGGAGATAGGAACCCTCAGAATCAGTGGAGCTAATAAAGGGACAGACAGGCCAGTGAATTCTCAGCCATTTATGGGCTCTAAGTCCTCACTCTCTGCTCTCCTCTAGGTCTCCCCACTGTTCGGAACCATCTACGACGCTGTCTTCCTATTGGCTGGGGGAGTGACGAGAGCCAGAGCAGCTGTGGGTGGTGGCTGGGTGTCAGGCGCATCTGTGGCCCGCCAAGTTCAGGAAGCCCAAGTCTCTGGCTTTTGCGGGGACCTGGGAAGAACCGAGGAGCCCTCCTTTGTGCTGCTGGACACAGATGCATCAGGAGACCGGCTCTTCACCACACACCTGCTGGATCCCATCCGAGGCTCCCTGCTCCCTGCTGGGCCCCCGGTGCACTTCCCGAGAGGTGGACCTGCACCCGGGCCAGATCCTTCCTGCTGGTTCAATCCAGATGTGATCTGCAATGGAGGTGAGGGGAGCACCCTCCGCGAGCACCCTCAGGCTCCTACTAAGAGTCAGCATGGACAAGTCACAAAGCTGTGGGACAGAGGGAACTCCAGTTTTTCTCCCAGGTCCTCCTTTAGCCCATGGCTTACTCAGGACCCCTCTCAAGGATTTCCAGAACCCTTGAGGACCCTTGTAGCATCTCTAGACTCCCCCTTTGAGGAATCTGTGATCTTTCACCCAGCTCCCAAGCCCATTTCTTAGATTTGGCATGACTTATTGAACGCCTCCTTCTCTTAAGGCACTCAAGTGTCCTCTCTTTGTCCCTTCAGGAGTGGAGCCAGGCCTGGTCTTTGTTGGCTTCCTCCTGGTGATAGGGATGGGACTGACTGGAGCCCTCCTGGCTCATTACTTGAGGTGAGAAGGGGAAGTAAGACACCAGGTGAGGTCCACAAGACGGGGAGAGTCGCCTTGAGGAGGGACACGAGGATCCAGGGAGTTGGCAGAGTTCCAGGGCATGTTTGGGGAATAGCTACATCCAAGTCCACCTCCCTGAACTAATGTCACCCCTCTGCTCTATCCCCCGCTGGCCTCTTATGGACCTCATGGGGATGCCCACCTCCCCGCACCAGACACCGACTTCTACATATACAAATGGTCTCGGGCCCCAACAAGATCATCCTGACTCTGGAAGATGTTACCTTGCTCCACCCACAGGGGGGCAGCTCTCGGAAGGTCAGGAAAGCAGGGAGCTAGGATCCACAGGACCCTTCCCTGAGCCTCTCCCCATCCCCAACCCCCTCCCACCCACCAGCTCCCACATGAGAAACTTAGCTCCTGCCCCAGCTTTGTCCTTGGAAATCAGAGACCTCATCTACACAATAGGGGGGACAGTCGATCTTGGGCTGGTGTGAAGGTCCAGCTAGAAACTGCATATCTGTTTTGTAAACTGTAGAGTGTGGTGCACTAAGTGCCCTTTCCGCCTGGCCTGTAGATTTCTTTTCCTCTTCTCTGTCACCCACAGAACTCAGCCTCACCCCAGGACTCTAGCCCCAGAATAGATTCTGATATTTGTTTTGACCTCTGTCCTCAGATGGCCCAGGGCAGTAGATCCAGTCTGGCTACCCGGAGCACATCAGACATCCGCAGTGTCCCCAGCCAGACCCCAGAGAACACCAACATTGGCCTCTATGAGGTGAGCTGATCCCCAGTTAGCCTGATCCGTACTTCAGGAAGGGAAAAAAAGGAAGGATGCTGGGACCAGAGTCAGAGGAAAAGTACTCTGGCTGGAGTGTGTGTGTGTGGGGGGGGGGGTAGGGTCAGGTCGCATCTCGCAGGCTCCAGGCAGGGAGATGAAGCTGGGCACAGACTTAGCCACCCAATCTGGAAATCCTCTCTGTCACAAGTCCAGGTGAGGACTTCCCAAAACCCAAAAGCTGGAGGCTGGGGGTGCTGTGGAGTTTGCTGGGATCAGCCTGCAAGCTGGTACAGCCAGTGAGGCCAATTCCTTCTCTACTGAGAGTCCCTCGCCCCACCCTCTCAACATTTCCAACCAGTTCTGGTCAGCTTCACAAACATACTTCAGGGAAGGAATGTCAGAGAACACTAACAACTGAGCCAGGACATGTGCGAGTGCCACGGGACTTGTGAGCCACGAGACTTGTGATCCACTGGACTTGTGAGCCACTGGACTTGTGATCCACTGGACTTGTGAGTCACTGGACTTGTGAGCCACGGGACTTGTGAGCCACGGGACTTGTGAGCCACGGGACTTGTGAGTGTGCCATGGGGCATGCAAATGTGGCACAGGACATGCAAGTGTGGCACAGGACATGCGAGTGTGGCACAGGACGTGCGCGTGTGCCTCGGGATGTGTGAGTGTGCCACGGGGCATGCGAGTGTGTCATGGGACGTGTGAGTGTGGCAGAGTGAGTGAGGGGTACTGAGAGGAGGATTGGAGAACTCAACTCAGCAAGAGGAGTGCGGAGAGCGCCCAAGCTCCTAGAGAGAAAGCAAAAGTTTTTACTGTGTCACCTGAGACCACGGTGACTGCTTCTCAGAGACACGTTACTGTTATTTTAAGCAGGTTGTTCTTTGCATGGGCCCACCCTCCGCCTATGCTAAGCCTTTCTTCTCTCTGGCCATGCCCACTAAATGCAACTCCCAGTCTTTAATGACCATTATAAAGTATCTTCACGTTATATCCAAATGCCGATCAGGAATCGGCACCAAGTCCTCATAACTCTCTTGTAGTTCACATCTCTTAGCAAGGCCCAGGGCAAATTAAGAACAAAGGGCTCCTTGTTCCAGATGACAGCAGCAGATCACTGCAAGTGGCCACACCATGGCATAGCATGGATTGACCCTGCAAGCAGGCAGAGACAGTGTGGCCAGGACCAGGGGGACGACAGCTCCCTGCAAAACTAGTTCCCAATAATCCCTGCCGGCTCTAGCACAGTGCTCTCTCCTAACAAGGGGTAGTGATGTGGGCTGCATATGCGTGAGTGTTGATGGCTGTATCTGAGGAGTGAGGAGCACCACGCACGGCTTCACACCTTCCTCACTGCTCTGACCCAGCTACCTGCGGAACATACGGGCATACGTTGAGCTGCTTGTATCTGATATTCTGTCTTACGACAGATGTGTTCTGGGTCAGTGGAAATGGGAGCTCCCTAGGGCACCTTGCATCTTGAGGCTTTAAGGACTGAATACCTTGACCTTCTGCTACAGGGAGACTGGGTTTGGCTGAAGAAATTTCCAGGGGATCGCCATATGGCTATCCGCCCAGCCACCAAGACAGCCTTCTCCAAGGTAACCCATGATGAGGAGTAGATGCCCATTCTTGGCTTCTTTTTGTAGCAGGCTATGGGGGAAATCCTCAGGTTTTCCTTCCATGCCAGAGAGGCCCTCCCACCATCCTCTCTCATGACATTAGCTTTTTTCTTTGATGTTCTTATCACAACTTATATGTGACAAGTGACATCCTGATTTATCACAAAAGTTGTGCGTTCAACCACAGTCTGTCTTATCTGTCTCCATTGTGAACTGGCAGCTGAATGAGGGTGCTACCGTATTCCCAGGACCCAGCACAGGTCTGGAATACCGGAGGCCAGTGGATTTGTGTTGAGTGAAATGATTTAAAAAGACAAACAAACAAAAAAAAAACAGTAAAAATGAGGAGGCAGTGAGATGGCTCAGCGGACCAAGGTGTCTGATCAAGCCTGACCACCTGGATTTGTTCCCCAGTACCCACATCAGTGGAAGGAAAAAGCCGACTCCTGCAAGCTGCCCTCCGATCTCCACATGGGTGCCATGGCACATTTGTGCCCACACAATGCACCTACGCAGATATGCGCACACACAAACAAACCTTTTTTTCAAGGAAACAAATTTAAATGGGTTTCCGCTTCCGTGAGGACACACAACTGTGCGGAATGCCCCCGCTGTGCCGACATAGAGAACAAAGTGGGCAGCTGGCAGTAGAAGAACTCATTCTGGTGCCTTCAGCTTCCATGTCCCTCTTCCCCTGGCGCTGAGCATCTTTGGTTTGACCTCTTTCCAGGAGGCAGCCACGGGAGCTTGTGATCACAGCTGCCAGTGACTTGAGTGGATTGCCTTTGGGGTGTGGGCGAAGTCACCAGGTCTTTAGAATGAAAGCAGCCCCTTAAAAGGGCATGTGGCCCCGGGGAAAACTGGAAAGCAATGGCATTTGGTCTCTCAGGTCCTTCGTTAAAGACTGCCACGTAAGGAAGAGCAGGTGGTGGCTCCTTCGACTGCTCTTTCCCCTGTGGCTTCACTTAACTCTGCAGTTAATTCAGTCCCTCAGCAAAGTGGGGCCTGGCTGGGCCCTAATCCCCAGTGTGTGTTTGTCTTTTCATTTGTTAGTTTAGCCATTCATAATCTGAGCAGAACTATGTGGAGAAGAACGTCCTCACACCTCCACTCTATTTTACTTACCATATTCAGTCCTACATTTCCAGTTTGGATGCCCCCAAACAGGCACTGAATACGGGGGGATAATAATCGGTGCTCTGTGCATTGCCTCCTGGGGGAAAAAAAATGCCAATCGGTTTCTGCCTTTCAGCTGCGGGAGCTCCGGCATGAGAATGTGGCCCTCTACCTGGGGCTCTTCCTGGCAGGGACAGCAGACAGCCCTGCCACCCCTGGGGAGGGCATCTTGGCTGTGGTCTCAGAGCACTGTACGCGGGGCTCCCTCCATGACCTCCTGGCCCAGAGAGACATAAAGCTGGACTGGATGTTCAAGTCTTCCCTCCTGCTGGACCTCATCAAGGTGTGTGTGTGTGTGTGTGCCTGTGTGTGTGTACCTGTGTGTGTGTGTGAGAGAGAGAGAGAGAGAGTGTGTGCATGTGTGCGCGTGCGCGTTCGCAGGACGTAGAGATGTGCTGGCAGAGGAGGAGTCAAGAGAACTGAGGTTGCCTCTTCCTCTACTCCTTCCAAGGGAATGAGATACCTGCACCATCGCGGTGTGGCCCACGGGAGGCTTAAGTCTAGGAACTGCGTGGTGGACGGGAGGTTCGTGCTCAAGGTGACAGATCATGGCCACGGGCGACTGCTGGAAGCGCAAAGGGTGTTGCCTGAGCCTCCCAGTGCGGAGGGTAGGCGTCCCCAGCTGCCTCCCTGGCCCCGGAGCATCCCTAGGATCCGCATAGCTGCAAGTGCTTTTCCCTCCATCCCCTCCTTGCACTGTTCATCTAGCTGGGGACATGGAGTTTGCTAGGGAGAGCCTAAGCTCTGGGGATGTGGATAAGCGGGGCTTTGCTGAAGGCTGGCTCCGGAGGTAGAGTCTTCCTTAGGCACCGCCTTCGTGAGGGCAGGCGACTTTTTTTTTCCTGAAAGGCTTTGAATCTCAAATAGTCTCTGCTCTGAGATATTTGAGAGGCTATAGGGTTAATTAGTACCAGTGAGAATGAGGGTCTGGACCTCACCGCAGCCTCTCTCGCAGCCACGCCCCTCTTTCTCGCTCCTAGATCAACTTTGGACAGCCCCAGAGCTGCTTCGGGACCCTGCCCTGGAGCGACGGGGAACACTAGCTGGCGATGTCTTTAGCCTGGGCATCATCATGCAGGAGGTCGTGTGCCGCAGCACCCCCTATGCCATGCTGGAGCTAACACCCGAGGGTAAGGTGCCTTGGGGCCGGGTAGGCACCCTGCACTTAAAACAGCCAGGCCAGACCCAGCGTGGCTCTTTAATAAGGTGAAGCTCTTTTCTTAAAGCTGGGGTCTGAAGACAGCAATGGGAAAGCCAAGCATGAGGCGGTGTTCCAGGGCACAGACCTTAACAGCTTCTGTCCTGACCCTGAACCCACCCTGCTCTTCCACCACACAGACAGGTTCCTGTCTGATTCTCAGAGATCCTAGGAAAGCCGAGGGGGAGAAACAGAGGGGTCAGAGGATCCAAATCCAAACCACGCATCATCTGTAGGATTCTCACCCCAGCCCTTACTTGTCTTACGCTCAGAGATGTTTGTTTGTCTTCATCACCTCCCCACTCAGATTTCAGGGCCCTCTGGTTACGCCTAGAGATCCCACATCACACTCCCCCACCAACTAAAGCCTTTATCTACTTACTTATTGGTGTATAGAGTATGTGTGTGTTTACATGTGCAGACAGTTGTGTGTGCGCGCAAATGCAGGCCAAAGGTCAATGTCAGGCGTCTTCCTTGGTGGTTCTCTTCTTTGTTCTTTGAGACAGAGTCTCACTGAATCCAGAACTCACCAGTTAACCGTGCCGGGTAGCCAGCAAGTGCTGGGAGGCCGCTGTGTCTGCCTTCCTGGCTCCAGGGTTACAGGTGTACTCCACCCTGCTGGCTTTTAAAAAGTTATCTGAATGTGGCTGCCGGAGACCCTAGCTGAGGTTGGGTCTTGCATGCCAGGCACTTACCTGTAGTTTTTGCTGGCTTGTGGCTGCTGCCTGTGTGCAGTCCCTGTTTCCCTGGGGGGGGGGGGCGAGAAGTCAACGCACAGACTCCAGGAGATTCCCATACAGAAGCTCTTTACTGTAAACAGGTTAGGGGTTTTATGGGGTTAGGAAAATTAAGCTGCCGCAGGAGCGGTTCTGGTTGGGCCTTTGAAAACTGGTGTGTTGCGATTAGCTAGCAGCGCGTGTTATTAGTGACTGTGCTTTTGATCCCCTGACGGGTTGTCTTGGCCAATTGTGCTTACTCACCGTGAGTTTGCATGCACTGTTGTCCAGCCTCACTTACTGACTGGGCCATCTCCTAAGGCTTGGAAGTGTTAATTAAAAAAAAAAATCCTATCCAGGAGGGCCTTTAATCCCAGCACTGGGGAGGTGGATCTCTGTGAGTTCGAGACCAGCCTGATCTACAGAGTGAATTCCAGGACAACCAAAGCTACACGGAAAAACCTTGTCTCGATAAAACAAATAAACAAACAGACAGACAAACAATCCTCTCCCTCTGGGAAGAAGCTCAGTTGGCCGAGACTTGCCTCGTATGCACGAAGTCCCAAGCTCAATCCCCAGCATCTTATAAACTGGGCATGGTGGTACAAGCCTGTGGTCCTCTGATACACAGCGAGCTGGAGACCAGCGTGGAATCATGAGTGCCCCCATCTTAGGCTAGAGTCAGAGGTGGGTTTTCTCTGGGGTCACCCACTTCTCACAGTCTCTTCTTGCCTCTAGAGGTGATACAGAGGGTGCAGAACCCTCCTCCACTGTGTCGGCCCTTGGTGTCAATGGACCAGGCACCCATGGAGTGCATTCGGCTGATGGCACAGTGCTGGGCAGAGCAGCCAGAGCTTCGGCCCTCCATGGACCACACCTTTGACCTGGTAAGGAGCTGGGACTGTGCGGGGACTGGGCTGGGCTCTGGGGTCCCAGATGGACAAGCAGGCTGGCAGGAGCTTGACCTTTTTGGCTCTTTCCTTAGGGTTAACCTAAGGACTACAAATTTGGTAGGGATGGTTTGGAAAGCAGACGAGGGCTTGTGAAGGCCTTTGGAGTGGGAAAGAGAACTCTGGGTGGGAGAAATACTTAATTCAAATCAATAACATTGAATTAAGAGTCAGATTATGTAATTTGTTTATTGGGACAGGAAAACTTTTAGCCTGAGTTCAGTGCCTTGTCAATTCCAGCTCAGAGCAACTCTCTGAGGGAGCCCTCATTTTCCACATACCCGCTAGTAATATCTGCAAACGCAGGAGTGGGAAGGATCTCGGGTGTACACATGAGAGAGTACAGGAGAGGGCCATAGCAGCCAAAGTCTTACTAGCTTTCTCCTCTCCTAGTTCAAGAGCATCAACAAGGGCCGGAAGATGAACATCATTGACTCTATGCTCCGGATGCTGGAGCAATACTCCAGTAACCTGGAGGACCTGATTCGAGAGCGCACAGAGGAGTTAGAACAGGAGAAGCAGAAGACAGACAGGCTGCTCACACAGATGCTGCCTCCGTGGGTGCCCATGTGGAGTGTGGGGAGAGGGTGGGAAGATGGGGGCAGCCTTCAGGTGACCTTGCTGCTTGCCATTCCTAGATCTGTGGCTGAGGCCCTGAAGATGGGGACACCTGTGGAGCCTGAGTACTTTGAGGAGGTGACACTATACTTCAGTGACATTGTGGGCTTCACCACCATTTCGGCCATGAGTGAGCCCATCGAGGTGGTGGACCTACTTAATGACCTCTATACCCTCTTCGATGCCATCATTGGTGCCCACGATGTCTACAAGGTGGAGTGCGCAGAGACAAAACCTCCCGCCCTTCAGTCTTGTTTTCTGTGTATACCTCTGTGGCTTAGAACCTGCTGTTTAGAGCAGGCTGGCTTCAGACTTGTAGCAATCCTCCTGCCTCTGCCTCCTGACTGCTGGTTTTAAGGCATTGCCTGGCTCTGACTCTCAGTTTAAATGAAGCAGTTCCACCTGCCTCCAGACACCAGCTAGTTTTCCTCAGCCCTCCCATCACGAATCTCTTCCTTCAGGCCCCAGTGCAACTCCTAGCTCACAGCGTGGCTTTCCAGGATGTCTGCCCTGCCCCGTTTAGACCTCCAGACAAGTGACAATGATTTAAGTATTAGGGGAAGGGTGCTCAGAACTGAGCAAACACAACCCCTTCCCCCAGGTGGAAACAATTGGAGATGCCTATATGGTGGCCTCAGGGCTGCCACAAAGGAATGGGCAGCGGCATGCTGCAGAGATTGCCAACATGTCACTAGACATCCTCAGCGCTGTAGGTTCTTTCCGCATGCGCCATATGCCTGAGGTACCAGTGCGCATTCGCATTGGTCTGCACTCAGGTAAATACTCAGCTCCCCCCCCCCAGCTTCTGGGTGCCAGATTTCTGCGATAGGAGGCAACGCTTGCTGGGGGGTGGGCTGGGGAGGGGGCTTGCCTTGAAGTAAATACACAAGGGTGTTGTTATTGGGGGAGCTAATAGAGAGGGTGTGTGCTAAGGTCTCCCCAGGCCCTTTGTGCAGCCTAGCTGCAGGGCACCGCCAGCTTTGACCCAGTCTCTGCCCGCCTGCCCTCTGACCTGGCGTATCTCCCCAGGCCCGTGCGTGGCTGGTGTGGTGGGCCTCACCATGCCTCGGTACTGCCTGTTTGGGGACACAGTCAACACAGCCTCACGAATGGAGTCCACCGGACTGCGTGAGTGTAACAGACCAGGAGAGCTGGGGGAGGTGGAGAAAGCCCGGACAGGGGAAATGGCCCAGGATGGGGAGATGGGAGGTGAATTTTGAGATCATGGTGTCCCTCACTGCCTCAGCTTACCGCATCCACGTGAACATGAGCACTGTTCGGATTCTTTGTGCCCTGGACCAGGGCTTCCAGATGGAGTGTCGAGGCCGCACAGAGCTGAAGGTGCGTGGCCCACACGCTGCTGCTTTGTAGGGGACCCTACAGATATCGGATCTCCCCGTTTCACCTAGACCTAAAGATTCTCCATCCCTCACCCTGGTCTGCCTAAGCCCCCCTCTTTTGTGTTTTCCCAGGGCAAGGGTGCTGAGGACACGTACTGGCTTGTGGGCAGACTGGGTTTCAACAAGCCCATCCCCAAACCACCGGATCTGCAACCAGGGTGAGTGGCTGACTTGAACCTGCTGGGTCACAATTGGATGGCTGGAGACTCAGTGGCACCAGCCATTGGGCCCTCTGTGCCTTTGCCCTCTCTTCCTGCCTCCTACACCAAGTCTGGTCCTCATCCCAAGCAGCAATAACAAGTCCTGACATCCCTCACCCCTATTTCTCTTTGCTGAGGCTGCAGTCTCCTTCCTGCAGGGCCAGCAACCATGGCATCAGCCTGCAGGAGATTCCCCCAGAGAGGCGCAGGAAGCTAGAGAAAGCCAGACCAGGCCAATTCACTGGGAAGTGAAGTTCCCCGGAGACAGGTACTGTGTCTCCCCTCATCCTCAGAGGCCACTCACTTCTAGGGGAGTACTTCCTAGGGATCTGGTCAAGACTAGGTAGGAGCTGCCTGCAGGATGTCCCAGCCAAGCCAAATGTCCCTATTCCTCTCTGATTTAGGGGGCAGAAAAGGGATTTACGCCAGAGGAAGCATCAACATTAGGCACACTGGTTTTGTGGGTCTGGGGTGATCCAAGAATCCAGATTTAGGAATTTTTCCTCAGACCTACCCCTTCCCCTGAACATAAACCAGGCTTCTCAGAGAGACCCCTCGGGGTGTATACTACACCACGACAGAATTTTGGAGACAGCATTTGCCAGAGGCCGGTGTGCAGTTGTATTTGCAGATCTGTCAGATCGAAAGGTCTCTCCATGGTCTTCATGCAAGAATCCCCAGGCCCTGGTCCTCCTTATGTGCACTCTTCTTCCTCTCTGAGACAGCTGCTTCCCTCAGGATTATTCTGCACAACCCTTCCTGAAGTTGCTGCTGTACATCGAACTGACGCCTGACATCGGCTTAAATGTTGGCTTCTGTCCAGTTCCGCCTGCAAGGGTTTTGAGCCCGGAGTCTGCTGCAAACCAACTAGTGACCTTGGGAAGATCTGAAGTGCTCTCCAGACCCCCCTCAGGGATAGAATGAGGGGGGCTAAACGGTTTCTACCACCATGTGGCCCTTACAGTGAGGCTTTAGAGTGGCTGGCCTTGGGATTCAGGACACTGTGGCATACGACCCCCAGCTCCAAGGACCCTGGGCTCATTGAGGGTTGCTCCACTCTCTAGGTCCTGGGAGACCCCAGAAGTAAGGATCTGGTGTCAGAAACACCGGGGGACCTGGAGGCCTCGTGTTCTACCAGGGCAGGGGTCACCATGTGGCCTGGAAAGACCGGGGCTCCTTTAGCCTTCATCCTATCCCCTCTCCATCACCCACTGGTCAGAGACAGGGTCCTTTTCCAATAGGCAGAAGCAAATCACTTGCCCAAGTGCAGAGAAAACTTGTTTTGATGCTGTGGGGGAGGAAAACCAGCTGCACCCAAACGTTGCTAACCAGAATGGCAGATGAATAGTTATCTGTTCAGGTGTTGGTTAATTGATAGTTGAAAACAATCATTTCTCCTGAGATCTTTGCCACAAACATTCACACCGAGTCCTGGCAAAACCCCAGCTGAAGTTTCCTTTGTAGAACCCTGGGGTGCCAGCGCCTGGGCTTTGGCATGTTAGACTCTTGCTGTCTCTGTCATTGGCACAGATTCTGAAAGATTTGGCAGTAGACACCCAGTAGGTAGTGAGTACCCAGGACCTGGTGGTGTGCAAACTCTGTGTGCATGCATGCGTGAGTGCGTGCATGTGTGTGTTTGTGGAGTGTGCACGTGCATGCTGGGGGATGAGGGGCAGGTGTGGTAGCACATACACCGACAGGCAGAGGCAGGTGGATCTCTCAGAATTTGAAGGCAGCTCAGTATACATAGTGAGCTCCAGGCTAGCCAGGGCTGCCTGTAAGAACCTGTCTCAATAACACAACTGTGTATAGTTATATATGGAATAGATAAGCTAGGGCTACAGAGATAGCTCAGTAGTTAAGAGCACTTGTTGATCTTCCAGAGGATCCAGGTTGGATTCCCAAGACCCACAGAGAGGCTAATAAAGGTCTGTAACTCCAGTTCTAGGGGATCTGACACCCTCTTCTGGCCTCTGCAGGGACTGGTAATGTACGTGGTGCACAGACACACATGCAGGCAAAACACCTACACACATAAAATAACTTTTAAAATAAATCTAAAACATTTTTAACTTTCTTTAAAAAAAATTTTTTTTAAAACCCACATAGTTACCCCTGAGTAATCTATAAGGTACCAATTCAAGGACTCTGGTGGACACCAAAGTCCTTGACTCTCAAGTCCCTTGTCTAAGACATAACTTTTTATATAGTACCTGTGTACTTTAAGTAATTTCTAGATGATCTGTACTACACATGGTAGAGAATAATGACAGGAAAAAATAGTACATGTTCATTGCAGATACCTTCCTAGGCCTCCCTGCACAGCACACATCCATGGTGATGGTGCCGACACAAAAACCACAGTCTCGTCATAAGGGAGTAAGAGAGAGCTATTGTGGGCCCTTCTGAGTGACCATGGCCTAGGAACACAGATTTCAGTTACCCCAAATTCCATGCTCCAACATAGAAGCAGTTCCTTAGGGTTTTTACAGAAAGGAGAGAGTCATAAATCAAGGCGACTCTAAAACACATTGGCGGCTTCAGTGAGGTGGGAAGAGCTGGTCTATGTGCCCAAGATGCTACTTCACGGCATTCTTGGCTCTTGGATTGGTGGAAGCTAGCGCTCTGCTAAATTTACAGTTTCTAGAAAGTTTCTATTTATTACCACAAGGTTAGTTCGGATACAGAGCGGGGCAAGGAATGGCTGTTCCAGAGACTGGAAGTAGCTCAAGGTAAAGTAATTCCCCTCTGCACCTACAAAATTCCATTCTCTCCACGTAGTGAATTCCAATCCATCTGTCAGTCTCTGTGGACACACACTCCTTCTCGGAGTTTCCTGGTCACAGGAAGATAAGTTCAGGGATTTTGGTTCAGAGTTGAATCCGTGGACGTGGCATGGGAAAATACAAAGGGCCGACTCTACCAGACTCCCCCACTCCCCCCCCCCCCCCCCCCCCCCCCCCCCCCCCCCCCCCCCCCCCCCCCGTCTCCTGAATGGGAAAAGCACCACATGGGGCTTGCATTGCCCCCTTGGCTGCAGCCACTTTAATCCAGGGCATCGCCCTCCAGTCCTCATGGTCCTCACACTCACCACTAACTGCAAACACCAAGCTTTATTTTGAGAGCACCGCTGCCTGGCATCTGTAGACATTAAGCCTAGGATGTTAAGATCACAGCTACTTCTAGAGCCTGCTTTTTCCTCCTCTTCCTCCTTTTAGTACTGATGAATGGCTTCCTCCCCCTTCCCAATGGCATTTTTATTTTTTTTAGGTAAATGCAGCACTTTCAGTTCTGGTTAGCTAAGTGGTGCTGCTGTAGGCTGTTAATACAATTTTAAAATTTTAACTATGTTTATAAATGATGAGTTAACGTTGAAAGCAAAGCAAAAAAGATACAATGTGCACACTTGCACAATCATTTAAAAATATATTTACATTATTAAACATCTTTTATAAACGTTTTCTCTGTACTTGGGTCCCAGAGTTGAAGGGCAGATTCCAAATTGCTGGCCTTGGACCTGACTGGGGATGAGTTCTCAAAGATCCCGTCCTTCCTTCCCTCCTGTTCTCTCCCACTCTTCCTCCCCTTCCTGTCTGGGATCTGGAGTCGCTACTAGTGTGTAATTCAGGAATTCCCGAGGAAGAGTCACCCTGGGTTAGGTGCTGGGAGACTAGCCTGGGCAGGCTGGGGCAGGGCAGCCCAGGAAAAGGGAAGGATGAACTGAGGGCCATACTTAACCTGAGGATAAAGGAGGAGTGGGCAAGGTTCACAGGTCCCTTGGCTCCTTTGACTTAGCATCCTTTCCAGACTGGCTGGTAGTGGTCTCAGATGACTAGATGAGGTAGGGTGAGGGTGTGGGCCCTTGCTCCAGAGTTCAGAGGCAGTGGGAGAAGGGAAGAAAGGCTGAAAGGCTCCTCCCAAACCTCTCTGTCCTTCACTTTTCTCCATTTCCCCGTCCCCGTCTTTGTCCCTGTTCTTCTCTTCTCTATCCTAGAGCCCTCTTGCCCCGTTTCTCCCTGCCTTTCTCTGCAACGTCCCTCACTTCTGAGGACCACCCCCCCCCCCAGGTCTAGGTTATGAACTGCCAACCTTAGAGTCCTGACTCAAACACTCCCTGCCTCTCATTCTGTTGTCCCAGGACCCAGGCAGCTCCCAGCCACTAAAGCACCTGACACTGTCGCTGGGCACCCCACACATTCAGATGTCCTTACACTACCTCGGCCAGTCGGCCTGCCCGGAAGCCCACACTTGGGGCTGTTCTTGCCTCCGGGATGGCTCTGTAGATGGAACCTGCCATAGCCAAAGCAGGAACTTCCCCCAGCTGCTGCTCGGATGCCGAGACATGCCCAGGGCTCCCGGGCGCCTTTCCTGTGTACTGATGTTTCAGTCTGGGTCCTGCTTTCTTGCTTATCTGCGGTGAGCTGCACCTTGGCAAGGGCTTGTAACACAACATTGTAGGGTCACCCATGTTTATAGGGATCCTCTGGATTCTGCACCCAGCATACCAGGTGGTGCATCCTGGTATTGGGGTCCTGGGATGGTGAAGGCTGAAATAAAGGTGCGCTCCCTTCCATCACATGGGGTGTGGTCCTGTTAATCCCACTGGAGGAGAGTAAAACCACTGCACAATTTCGAGATAAATTGAAGCAAACTTTGTTCTATTTGGGTGCACCCAAGAGCTGACCAGAGTCTGCCTCCTATGTCAGGTTAGAGAGAGCAAGGCTGACTCTCTTCTCAGGGTCCTTTTAAGGAGTAAAATCACAAGTAGCTGCAAAGCAGGTTTACAGAAGCAGGACAATGAGCTGTTAGGAAGGTACAGAATAAAACCTAAAGGAAAAAAAAATCCAAAAACAAAACAATCATCTTGTGGAAAACAATCATCATCACGTGATCACTGATAAGAGAGGGTCAGGGTGTTCTTAAAAACAGGATATCATGGTTGTCTTAGTTAGGGTTTCCATTGCTGTGAAGACACGCCATGACCACAGTAACTCCTACAAAGGAAAACGTCTAATTGGAGCTGGCTTACAGTTCAGAGGTTTAGTCCGTTATCGTCATGCAGAGAAGCATGGGGGCACACGGGCAGACACGGTGTTGGAGAGATAGCTGAGAGGACCAGCTTGAGCATCCATCCTCCAACAGGGCCACACCTCTTGTCAGTACCACTCCCTGTGAGCCTGTGGGGGCCAATTTCATGGAGCAAGTCAGGGTGCTCTCATAAACAAATTGGCCAGGTTCCAGGAAACAGAAACTTAAAAACAGAAACTTGGTTTTTACATTTCATGGAAACTTATTATTAATAACAAAATGGTTTCTGTCTTCAAGATGGAGTCAGGCAGGTTCCTCATTCCCTCCTTGACTTATGTGTCCCAGTCAAATCTTTGATATGGAGCTGTTATTAATAATGTCGTCTGGCAGCGATACTTCTAGCATTGTTCATCTAATGTGTGATCAAGATGGTGACACTTGGAGGGTCCACGGCCCCACTGTGATCACGAGTGGAAACATTAGAGGACCAACCAATGGAGGGGAGAACCGCGTTAGCCATGTTCGCAAGTCAAAACTTTGAGAGATTTTGTCTATTTTTATATAGATTATCAATTATCCGAGAAAAATCAGAGATATTAAAACAACATATACCAGTAAATTGCTGACAACCAAGATTATGTTTAAAAAAAAGGTTGTCTACGGTGGCCCTATTTTATTTTGTAGAACCATTATTCTCAAGTCTCACATTTTCTGATTTATTTTGGCTAATAAATTGTGGTAATATTAGTAGTTTTGGCAATTATCAGGCTAGTTTAGAGATTTTTTTCCTTACAACCTGACAATGAGCCCATCTTAAAGCCTGTATCAGAGCAGATGTGTCCCTGGGCAAGGCTTGTGCCCAAATGATCTTCTGGCCCAGGACTACTGCTTCTTCCCTGCCCCACCCCTGCAAACCTAGTTCCTTCATGAACGAAGCTGCTTCCATCCAGGTAGAGACACACATCTCTGGTAGTGAGAGTCCAGCATCTCCAGACAGTCATGGATGGGTTCCTCAAGGTTGTCATCTGGAAGCAGGATGGAAGGATTGATGGCCAAGGATCTGTCAAAGATCAATCTGCCCTTATCAAAAAGAAGAGCTTGGGACTGAGTCGGCTGGGCATTCGCTCTCCACCAGTGTGTGGCAGCCCTCAGCAAGGTCACCACGGTGTGTGGATGGTCACAGTTAGAGCTGTCCCAATGTCAGCTTCTTTAAAGGAATGGCAGTGGCTGTGACAGCTCTTAGACAAGGGGACCACCCAGAAACTGCAGGATCCACTCTCGGCCTTTTCCAGTCTCTCAACCCATTCAGGACTCTTTTGACAATGCCGGTTCTTTCATGGATGCAAAGATGAAAGGGCTTGGAGATACCAGGGGGAGTTCAATCAGGGGCCTCTACAAGGGCCTCTTTTAAGTTCTTAAAGGCTTGACCATGTTCCTCCGTTCAGTCCAAAGGGGCGTTGCCCCGCCCGTAGCAGAGTACGAGGGTTTGGCGATTTCAGCAGAGGCAGACATCCAAAGACGGCAATACCCAACAGTTCCCAGGGACTCCCTAATCTGTTTCACGGTGGTTGGAGCTGGGGTTTGAGTTGTGGCTGTGTGTGGGTCTAGGGCAGCAGCCCTTTTCCCTGCTTTAGTTCCTGTTCCAGGATGGTAACCTGGAGCGAGCAAATCTGGACTCTCCTTATAGAAACCCAGTAGCTCCACTGAGCCAGGGCTTCCAAAAGGCCTCGGGCGGCTCTCAAATAGTCCTCATTTTTAGCTGCCAATATTAAATCAGCCACATATTGGAGCAGGAGCGCCTCGGGGTACTTACTTCGGAAGACTTAAGTCTTGGTTGAATACTTCATTGAAGATGGTGGGGGAGTTTTTGAACCTCAAGGCAGTCTGGTCCAGGTTAGCTGTTCCAATATCCCTAGTTCAGGGTTGGCCCATTCAAATGCAAAGATGAGCTGAGGTAATTTTGACGAAGGGATGGAGAAGAATGTGTCTTTTAAGTTCAATACAGTGCAAGTTTTTTTTTTTTTTTTTTTTTTTTTTTTTTTTTTTTTTGCTTTTTCGAGACAGGGTTTCTCTCTGGTTTTTTGGAGCTTGTCCTGGAACCAGCTCTTGTAGACCAGGCTGGTCTCGAACTCACAGAGATCTGCTTGCCTCTGCCTCCCGAGTGCTGGGATTAAAGGTGTGCGCCACCACCGCCCAGCTTACAGTGCAAGCTTTATGCTCTAGTGGTAACAGTCTGAGCAAGGTGTAGGGATTTTTAACAATCAGGTGAGTGGTTTCTACCCTTCTTTCATTTCCCTCAAATCTTGTACTGGTCAATAGTCTTGAGTTCCAGGTTTTGGGATAGGTAACAAGGGGGCATGCTAGAGTGACTGGCAAGGAATCAGTATTTTTGCTTCAAGAAGGGGCCTGATGTGAACATTAATCCCTTCCCTGGCTTCCAAACAGATGGGCATTGCTTGACTCAAATGGGCAAAGCCAAGGATGCTAGTTTTACTATGGCAGGTGGCACATGTTTGGCCAGGCCAGGAGTATTGCCCACTGCCTAAACTGTGAGAATTTCCTAAATCAAGAACTTTTTCAATTCCCCATCCAGGGAAAGGGTTAAATTTTGGTGGATCAACTGTCCCTCACTTCTCATGCAGGTTATGGTTAAAGCCTTATCAGGGCCTCCCAGTTGCAACCCAGGAGTGTCTCCTGAGAATGATAGTATTGCCTGGAACTTGTTCAAGAGGTCCCACCCCAGTAAAGGCTAGGGACATTCAGAAATAACAATAAAAGATTGAGTCACAGATTCTTGTCCTAAGTTAACAATCCGGTAAGTGGTCTATTTATAGTCTTTAGTATCCCCTGTTGCCCCTGTATTTCCATTGTTTGGTTAGTAAGGGGTTTTGAGGGGCTCCTGTGTTTACCAGAAAATTTATAGTTTTGACCTAGATGGCGAAGGTTACCAGAGTATTCTGGGAGCCTAGTTTGAAGGTCTCGCTGATCCTCCATAGCCAGGACTGGCTTGGGTGTGGGGTAACCTACCTGTCTCTGCTGTGGGCATTCATTCTGCCAAGCCATTCTTTTGTAGTAGGTATATTGGCCTTTGAAGCTATTCCCAGGAGTGCCTCAGTTTCTTTTATGGGAATCATTCCCTCTGCCCTAATGAAGAGGGTATGGAGAATCTGCTGACAGGCGTCCTACATGGGAAGGGGATTGAAAAAGATAGAACCAATTGGAGAAATTAAGGAATCAAGGTTAGTGCTAAAAGGGGTTCTGGTTCTTCCAGCTGTAGATATCTGTAGTGGGGAAAGGGACCTGCAGGTGTCAATTGAAGAGAAGCTGCCATAGGAAAGCAAGGATGGAAAGAGAGTACTATCCCAGAGTCAGGATCAGGGCCATTGGGGAATCCCCCAGCAGGTGTGGGGAGCGGAAACAACAGGAATGTAGGGAAGAGTTAGGGGCAGAGAAGGCAGGGAGGAAGGGAAGAACTAAAAGAGGAGACAGGAGGAGACAGGAAAGAACTAGGTGGCAGGATAGGGGTTGAAGCAGATGGGGACAGAGTGAGGCCATGGTGGTGGGGGCTGAGGTGGCAAGGGGGAGGTTGAGGTGAGGAGGGGAGTAGGGGTAAATATGCCTATATACAGGGAGGAAGAATTCTTCCTCCTGTGAGTTCTGCACAGTGGGTCAGAGGATGCCCCTGGGTCTCTTCTGCAGGCCTTTGAAGGACCCACTACTGACATCAAGGCCTAACCACCTTGCCAATTGCAGAGGTTACAAACTTTCATTCAGAGGAACAGGTTGGAGGTTGCTTCTTCCCAGGGTAACATGCATCCATTCTGATCTGTGTGTCTGGGTTTGTTGACTGATAATGTGGGCCATTCAATCTCACAGAATGTTTGAAGGTGACTCTTAGTGACTATGGTGTGTGTTTTGAAGTTTGTCAAAATTCTTTAGAACATGGATTATTGGGCTCTTAGGCTTGCTAACTTTATTCTCATACTGTCCATCTATTCAGTCTCTCCAAGTCCAAGATAAACCAATTAACACAGAAAATTCAAGAGACGATAAAGTAATAATGAAGCCAAAGATAAGATGTATAAATACAAGACAAACAAGACACAAAACAAGACCAGAAACTTCAGATGAGTGATGCTACATCTTGCTCTTGTCCTGGACAGGAGAGTATTGGATCTTATCAGACTCCTCATCTCAGATTGGGATTCCAACAGAACCAGATGTTACAGAAAATTGCTATGACTTTACCAGGGGAGACCTCAGTAGACCCTTGCTGCTTTTCTCAGCATGGTAGTTTATTCTGATAGTCTGTGAAACAAAAAGCATGCCTTGGAGCCTTGAAACATCCCAAGGTGTGAACCTCCTGAAGAGGCACTTCAGCCCCAGAGTCCTGGAGTGAAGGTCCAGCTTTAGAATCTGGGTGG